TGTCGGGCACCCAATATCGAGATAGAAAACCAGCAACTATAGGATTCTTCTTTCGATATAAAAGGATAAATGAGATCATGTTCCAGTTAACTGATTTTACTTACCAATTGGGACTTTTACCCGGTTCCTAAATTCCTTAACATTCCCATTAAAAATTTGAAACCGTTGTTTTGTAAGCGTGTAGAATTTTGGTTTGACATTTCACGCTTACCGCTTACGTGCTAAACATAGGGAAATTAATGACTAATAATTCAAATAGACCAAAAAAAATGAAATGGTTGATTTAAAAATGACTCGTATTATTTTTGAAAATTGAGCTATATATAATTCCAAAAATTATAAATAAATTTTTAGCTTTTGCATATTATGCATTCCTTTTTGTGCCTTCTTCGTTTTGCTTTTGTTTGCGCCGTCGCAACAGCTAAATGTTTTTTTCTATTTATCTCCCCCGCTCTCCCACTCTCTCGCTTTCGCTCTCGCTGTGACTCTTCATTTCTTATCTTCATTGCTCCGTTGTTTTTTTTTTTTTCCTTATTTTTTTCAAGTCCAAGTACAGTGGTAAGACTTCAAAATGTCCGGAAATATTGTCTGTTTCGCCAAAACCTGCAAAAAGTCAGTGACCTTACAATCGGCTGCTTGCTGTGCGACAACGTCATGCACGCCAAGCGTATTGGTGTTGCAGCTCGGACGGTGGACGATGAGAAAAAAAAACATCGGCCTGCGTTACTGCTGCGAGGCCTGTCGTTGCTGCAAAGCAAAAACGGTTTTAACAGCATTTTAACGAGTTTTCGTAAAACTCTTAAAATGTCCTTGGCGCTGGACCCAATTTAATAGCCTCATGCTATTAAATAAGTCTCCTATGCGCAAAAAAACTGCTATCTATCTACCTGCAACGGGCTCTCAGCAGCGGCCTCCCTCGGCACAGCCCTCGACCACAGCTTTATTTCTAAGAGTGCTGAGATCGAGCGCTAGGAAATCACCGTACCGCCGGTGATTTCTGTTTTGTCCCCTGGGGGGTCGCAAATATGGACCCCCCAAAGTCCCGTGTATGCCGATATATCTGCCCAGGGCTTTAGGCCCGGATTACCGGCCGACAATGGCATAGCAGATAACCAATCTGCCTTGCCAAAAGCCCTTATAGCGATTCCACCGACGAGACATATTTTTGTCTCGCGGCTCTCCCCTGAACAAACATCGAAAGATGTTCTCGCCTTTATACAAGGCAACACCAGAGCCGATAAAATAAAGATTAAGGTGGAAAAGTTTAAATTTTCTTACTTACTTACTTTTTCTTACATCTTTTAAAATAAATGTCCCTAACGAACTCTTTATCACTATTTGCTCTACCAACTTCTGGCCAGAGTACATCGTTGTTAAGGAGTTCGAGGCGAAGAAAAAGAAAAAGCGGCCTGTAAGAATAACTCTTCCCAGGCCTGATCATACCACTGCGCCTTCTACGTCTTCCAATCCCGACCAAAAAAACTAACCTACTCCCTAGTTATTTCTTATCAGAATGCAAGAGGCTTACGTAGTAAGCTTCCAAACTTGTATTCCTGGTTAAAGCCGGAGACTCTGAGCTCCGCTGGCATGTTCGACATTTCGCTGTCTCAAGTCAACCACGTGCGAAATTCCTTACAGCGCTTGCTCGATCTTTGCTTCGTCTCTGATCCTACGAGAGTCAGTTTAGCAAGGTTGGCGCCTCTGACGCACCCCGAAGATCCTTATCATCCAACTTTCGATGTGACTCTTGATATTGGGTCTGGCGTACAGAATATTTCTGACCGTCCAGCCAAAAAAGTCCTATGTTTTCGGAAGACGGACTTTGAACGGCTGAATAATTGAATTTTATAAACAAGTTCAATTGGTCCGATCTATACACGGGCACTGACATGGCAGTTGCCGTGGATATTTTTTACAGTGCCATGAATTCATTTTTACTGAATGTGTTCCGTTATATAATCCGCCAAACTCGAATAAACCGCCGTGGTTTATTAAAGAGTTGAGCCGATTTAAGAATAAAAAATCTAGACTGTATGCTAAATTTAAATTCACCGGTTCTCAATCTGCCATTTCATCTTATTTATCAGCTTGGTCAAACTTTACCGTGCTGAACGCGCATTGTTATAAAAACTATTTAACTCGTTGTAGGGCCCAGTTCTCACAGGACCCAAAACAGTATTCGCCAGGTCCCGACGGAATTCCTGGCTGTGTGCTCAGGTAGTGTGCCGACGATCTGTGCTATCCCCTTCTGAAATTGTTTACCTTGTCCTTAGAAACCTCCTACTTTCCCATTATTTGGAAGGAATCGTTTATTATTCCTCTCCACAAAAAAGGTAGCAAATTGTATGCCAGCAATTATAGAGGAATCTCTAAGTTGTCGGTTATCCCTAAAGTATTTGAAAATATTATCACCCCTCACTTACAGCACCTTTGTAGATCAGGTATTTTTCCATGTCAACATGGTTTTATTAAGCGAAGATCAACAAATCTTTTGGAGCTCTCTTCCAATATTATAATGGGCTTCCATAATAATTTTCAGACAGATGTAATCTATATTGATTTCAGTAAAGCATTTGACTCTGTTAACCTTTCTCTCCTCGTAAGAAAACTCGAATTAATGGGGTTTCCTAGTGATCTTCTTAATTGGATCTCAAGTTATCTGAATGGCAGGACGCAAAAGGTCCTCTTTAAGAATAATTTATCCAATGTTCTAAGGGTTACATCTGGCGTCCCGCAAGGAAGCCATTTGGGACCGTTATTGTTTACATTATTTATAAATGACTAATGTCTTGACTAACTAACTAACAGAGTGCTTATGTACGCGGATGATGCGTGCTTTGCGTGCAATACAATGATGTTGCCTGCCAGTCGGATTTACAAACAGATCTCAATAATTTACAAACTTGGTGCCGTGTAAACTTATTAAACTTAAATGGCTCGAAATGGAAGGTAATGACATTCTCTCGTGTCGTTCCTAAGCTTGCTACTTACACGCTGAACTGCTGCTCTTTGGAAAGAATTAATTCTGTTGATGATTTGGGCGTCCGCTTGGACCCAAAACTTGGCTTTATTGATCATATTTCGTCTATGGTGAATAGAGCCAGGGGTGTGCTTTCATCTATTAAACGGTGGTCGAAGGAATTCAATGACCCCTACGTTACTAAGTCCTTATATACTTCTTTAGTTCGTCCTATCTTTGAATATAGATGCTGCGTTTGGAGCCCTCAGTACGGCGTCCATACCAAACGCATCGAGTCGGTTCAAAAGAACTTTTTACTTTTCGCTCTACGCGGTTTAAATTGGGATGCAAACCAAAGATTACCTTCCTACTCAAATAGACTCCTCTTAATAAACTTACCGTTCTTAGCCAATCGTAGAACGATGCTAGGAATAACCTTTATTTATAACCTTATCCATGGTGATGTGGAAAGTGCTGACTTCTTGAGTCAGCTCAATTTCCCCGTACCAAGTAGAAGTACTAGATCTTATATACCACTAGTGTTGCGCCACTGTAGAACCTCCTTCGAACTGCATGAACCTTTTAGAGTCTTATGTGCAAATTATAATGATTTGTACACACTAGTCTCTAACGTAAATACCCTACCCAAATTAAAATCTTTAATACTAACACACTTTGTAAACATGCAAGCAAACAACCTGGCAGCACGCCGGTAGTCAATTTCCTCGTATTCTGTCCTATATTTTCCATCGCGCCTGCTAACACTGTCTGGTGCCATACGGGCTACTTGAATGGACTGATCGTAGTGCATCAACGTCAAAAAAAAAAATTAAAAAAGATTTGTTTTGTTTCAGATTTATATATACATTTTTGAATATTTGAAAAAATCTATTTGTCGCGATATTTGTTGTAAAATTCTTGGAGTTAAGGTGTATCTCGCCTAGCTTTAGCCCAGATTCATCTGTCACTCATCACAGCCATACAATTACACAGAATATTGTCCAGATTCTCGCCTTCTACCATCGGCCTATATCAGCAGATATAACAAGTATAACGAATAAATTTAGGTCAAGATCCTGCATAGTCTACACACATCATGACGATTTATATAGTAAATAATAGTAAATAAAACTATAACAATAGTATATAATGTCTCCCTTACAAATTTCCAACGTTAGCTTTCCCATTTGTTGTTTTTTATACCCTTGCAGGGTATTATAATTTCAGTCAGAAGTTTGCAACGCAGTGAAGGAGGCACCTCCGACTATATAAAGTATATATATTCTTTATCAGGATCAACAGCCGAGTCGATCTAGCCATGTCCGTCTGTCCGTCTGTACGTTTCTACGCAAACTAATCTCTCAGTTTTAAAGCTATCTGAATGAAACATTGTAGTTAGCCTTCTATATAATCTCACTCGTATATATGTCGGAATAGGCCGGATCGGACGACTATATATAATATAGCTACCATATGAATGATCGGAAAATTTTTACAAAAAAATTTTTAATTTTTTCAGTTTTCAATAGAATTGGATCAAATTTGAGATATAGCCATTTTACTATACTCTACAATTTTGCATAAAATTTTATGAAAATCGGACAACTATATCATATAGCTCCCATAGGAACAATCGAGAAATTAATAAAATTAAATGTATAACTTTTTAAGTTTTCAGCTGATTTTCATCAAATTTGAGGTATAGCCATTTTATATTAGTCCTAAATGTTGTGTTAAATTTCATGAAAATCGGACGACTATATCATATAGGTGCCATACAAACGATCGTTTGATGTAGATGAAAAATGCAAATCTGTGAATATAAAATTGCAAATATAATATGTATAGGTGAATGAAATGAAAGCAGGTATTCATTGATTCATTCATTCATTGATTTTTAACACAAATATATATAATTTATATTGTATGGATTCCTATTCATAGAAGTTCTATCTGCAAGGGTATATAAACTTCGGCGTGCCGAAGTTAGCTTCCTTTCTTGTTTTTAATTGAAAGCAGTAAGGGAGTACAAATTATTGTGCTGGTTTAAAAGGTCATTTGGAAATCTGACTTTTAAAATTACAGAATATACATCTTTGAATTGTCAAAAACAATAACGAAATTAAAATTCTTGCAATCTTCCATACACCTCTAAGCTGCAAAGAAGGTAATTATGAGTGTCCTAAGCTTAAAGGTGCTTTGGTCAACTTACCGGTACACGCAGGTAGAATTCGCGCCATGATTTGAGCGGAAAGACAAGACCAACATCGGATAGAAATTGTTGCTGTTAACATTGTAAATTTCGGTACGTCTGTCGGGGTCGTTGTTAAAGGTAAGCTGTCCTAATAGGTTCCTTTTGCGGCCATCCGCGGGCAGGCCCTTGTGCATATTATATATGTTAATGTGTAGATTCAAGCAAGGATGATAAAGACTCACATACACGTCAAAGTCCTTGGGGGCGCTGTTTACGCACAGACTCGGGGTCATTTCCCTAGATACGTGGGTCAGGGCAATAGACTCCACAAGTATTGGCTTGGCCAAGTGCAGGACCACCGATGCTTGGCTGCCACTGAAACCGAAGCACGCTCCTGGCGCTAGGCTAGGGCGCAGCATATTCACCGGTGGATTCGCACAAAATTCTAGGCCCAGAAGCCACTTGATCATATTAGTGCCACCAATGGGGCGTGCAATTACATGCATGATTCTGGCACCCATCTCTTCGGAGGCAAAGTTAATGCGATTTGTAGCCACATAGGCAGACTCCCCCTCAGGGCTGGATTGCTCTGTCCGAGCCGAACAATCAGAGCTTATGATCTGATTTTTTAAATTGTACACGTCGTCCATAAGGGTTCCGATCTTGCGCTTCACCAGCGTGTCCACATATTCAGTCATATCCCTGTGGTCGCATCTGCCTCCGTCCGCGGCTCGTTGAGAGATTTGGGCATCCTTGCAGCCAACATCTTTTCCCTTCTGTCGGAGCATGTGCTGTAATTTATATATTGTAAATTCGGCTATAAACGAGTAACCATATATTGCCTTACCGATAAATCGTTCAGGTCCTCCCGAAGCAGTGAGATTCCCTTCTTATTACTCCCGTTGTACGCCATTAAGTAATAGAAAAACACCGAAAGCAGCACAAATGACATCAAATAGGTGAGGCACACTCGCCTGCCGGCTCGACGGCAACAGTCCATTTAGAAAATTTTATTATTCCTTAATATACATATATTTTATTTTATTTTTGCTCTGTTCACAACCAGACCAATCAAAAAGTGACAGCTGTCTTTTTGATATAGAATAACATACATATGTTTACAAATAAAGGAATCACATCGGTACGGGGAAATAATACGGAGGGCCCGTACATAGGCGGATCTATATATTATATATGGAAAAATGGATTGCATAATCATTAATACTATAGCAGTAATTACTGCTCGAGCAGTGGGTAGAACTCGAGTCCATTTTATACCCTTGAAGAGTATTATAATTACAGTCAGAAGTTTGCAACGCAGTGTACGATCGAAAAATTAACAAAATTAAAAATTACAACTTTTTCAGTTTTCAATATTTTTTCAACAATTTTATAATATTCTAGAATATTGGTGATGGATCAGTAATTAGTGATCAAGTATGTTCTGCTGAACGTTCATGATACATTACGCCATCGTAAAATTAAAAACCTTCAATAAAACTAAGAGAAAATGACAGATGAGCAACCAAATCTTGTGAGAATTTGGCAGCAGAAGGCGCCCACAGTGTGTTTTAATGTTTAATTCCTTTAAAATGATCACCATTCATTCAATCCCCACCAAACTATCCAGGGTCATCATTCCCATATACGACAATAAACACATAAAACATCCTTATCATCCTAATTTTAATCGACGATAACTATATAGAGATAGGTTTTGAGATCAGATTTATGATCGGCCAATTTTATGATACGAACTCATTACCTATTTAATTAAGATAAGAGACGGAATTGAAATATTTTTTATATTTATTTATTTATTTTTATTTTGTACACTGTAGGCAGAAGTTACAAACTTAGGCTACAGGGATCGGCCATAACAGCGGAGATTTTCGGCCGGAATAAGGTTTACATGATTTGGTTAAATAAATATAGAGGGATCTTATAAATGTATTAACAGTTAATTGCACATGGATTATTTACAAGTAACAAATGACAGATATTTTATGAGGAAAGTGATTGGTTTATATACGGTGTAAAAGATTTGCTGATTTGAGGAAATTAAGAATTAATTGGATGTTTGCAAAATTAGGGTTGAATAAGTGATCAGTAAGTTTGATGTTTGGGAAGTTTGATCTATGTGTTTGAAGTGCTGGACAGTCGTTAAGGATATGGGAGATTGATATTTTTTCGTTGTTACAGAGCTGGCACTGATCGTTTGGTGGTTGTGAAAAGCGATGTTCGTGGGTGAGCCTGGTGTGGCCGAGTCGAAGACGGATTATTTTGGTGATCTCTCTTCTAGGTAGGTTGAAGGTTTGTATGTAGTCAGCTATGCTTAGGGCATCTGGGTTAATTTGTTGATACCACTGCGATGATTTCTGCAATATTTTAGGCTTAAGTTTTAGCGTGTCGATTTTTATTTGATTGTTGATGTCTCCACGGTTAACATTTGGCATTGTTAGTAGTGGAGCGTTGGTCGCTTCTTTTGCTGCTGTATCGGCTTTATCGTTGCCTTTGATTCCGACGTGGCTGGGGACCCATAAGAGCTTGATTTTGTTTTTGTGTCTTAGCAGAAGGTCGCGGATATATGATACGTAAAAGTTGGAATTGTTTATGTTTGCAAGTGCTTCCAATGTGGATAGGGAGTCTGAGCAGATGCAAAATTTCCCTCTTGTCTTGACTGCTATTTTGATGGCTTCAAGGATAGCAATCGCCTCGGCTGTAAATACAGATGAGTAGCTTGGAAGGATAGCTTGTTTCAGTATTTCCTCTTCTGTCGTTATCGCAAAGCCAATTATTTCCTTACTCAAGGATCCATCTGTGAACAGAAGCGTGAAATTTTTGCTAATAAGCTGGTGTCTGATTTCCAGAAATTGTTTGACAAATATGTCCTTGTTGGTGTCTGATTTTTTTACTCGGCTTAGTCGGGTATCTATCTGGTTGGTATCCAGAAACCAGGGTGGACATGATGGTTTTGGCTTATGGGGGAGAGAGGTGGGGAATCCGAGCTTTAGGCCAAGATTAATGCAGTGGTTGACGGCGGAGGATCGATATTTTTTTGTTTTATTTTTGGTAATCCGGTGAATGATTTGCCTTAGAGGGGTGTCGTTTGCGTGGATAATAGTGTTGATTGTTTTTGTTTTTAAGTGGTCGATTCTGTTATCTATTGGTTCAATATTTGCTTCTAGGTATAAATTGAAAGTGGGTGTAGAACAGAAGGCTCCCAGAGACGTTCGTAGGAGTGAATTAATTAAGGTTTTAATTGGTTTTATTAGTGATTTCGGGGAGTTACCATATATCGGTAGAGCATAATCAATTTTGGAAATGCATAGACTTTTGACGATTTGGATTAGGGTGTTGGGGTGGCTGTTATATTTTCCGTTGGAAAGGCATTTAATTATGTTCGATGATTTCTGTAGTGACTTGTGTAGTTTAGTAATATGGGGTTTGAAATTGTATTTTTTATTGAAAGATAGACCTAGAATGGTGAGTTCGTTAACTGTGTTAATAATTGTGGATTGTGTAGAGACCTGGCATGAACATTGTTTTTTCCGGCAAATGTGAATATGTTTGCATTTTGAGATTGAAAGCATAGCTCCGGATTTTTGGCACCACTCATTGATTTCAGCAAAGAGTGTATCGAGGTTGATTGAAATGTTTTTGTCTTTTTTTAATGGTATTAAGATGTTGAAGTCGTCTGCATAAGCTGTGTGTTGGTTGAAGTTCCTTGTGCTTGTCGATTATATCTGAGAGACTGTTGAACGCAATGAGAAAGAGAATTACAGAGAGTGGAGATCCTTGTGGAATGCCATTGTGGAGTGGGTGTATCCTTGAGGTGTTATTATTGGCCCGAACTCTGATTTTTCTGTTTGACATGAAGTTAATCACATATCTGATTATCAATGGTCCACAGCCCCATTCCGACAACTGATTAATGATGGTATGTAATCCTATTTTTTCGAATGCTTTTGCAAAGTCAAGAGATAAGATGGATATGTGTCTTTTACCAGAGAGGGCTCTGCTAATTAGAGCGTCTGTGTATAGCAGACAGTCCATAACAGATTTTCCCTTTTTAAATCCCAGTTGACGGCTATTTAGTAGTTTGTTACTTGTTGCAAACCACCATAGCCGTTTTGAGATTATCTTGTCGAGGGTTTTAGACAAGCATGGGTTGAGAGAGATAGGTCTGTACGATTCAGTCATGGTTTTGTCAGCACCTTGTTTATGTATTGGTATAATTGTGCTTATTTTGTATGATTGAGGAATATAGGATTTTAATATATTGTTGAAAAAGTATATAATTCTCATTTTGAGTGAATCAGCTACGTGTCTTATCATATCGTAATTTATCTTATCTTGTCCTGGGGTGTGACCCTTTAAGCTATTTAGAGCAGATGAGAACTCTAGGAAGTTTATGTCTTGTTCCATAAAGGCTGCAGTTCGGTGTGGGGGATTTAAGTAGTTCCGCATACTCAGTTTGAGTTTTTCTTCAATAAAGGAATTGGAAAATTGGGAGTCTTCCGAGCGAAGAGACCAATAGCTTGCGAAAGCTTGGGTAATTTCTTCAGAGCTGTTAAGAAGATCGCTACTGCTGTTGTCCTTTATTGCATGTATTTGTGTGGCTTTGTGAAGGCCACAGAGTTTCTTAATATTGCTCCAAATTGCTTCCGGCTTGGACTGTGGGGAGATTGTTGAAGTCAATTTAAATAGGCTTTCGGCTTTGCTGGATTTTAATTCCCTTCTGAATTGTGCGTTGATTTTTTTTATATTGGATGAGATTCTCAATGGACATGTCTCTGTTGAAAGTTCGCCAGGCTTTCATTTTTTCCTTTCTCATACTATTCAATTTGTTGTTCCACCAAGGGACATTATGGTGTGATCTAGGTGGTCTCGTATGTGGGATGGTGTTGTATGCACTTTGCAATATAATTTTCTTGATGTTACCCGCTTCCTGATTAATGTTTGGTGAAATTGGAATTTTGTTGTTCAGGTCATCAGTGAGCGTCTCGAATTTTTCCCAATCAGCTCTGCTAGTAACGAACCGTTGTACATACTTTTGTCTTGCTCTCTGGTTTTTCGGGAAAATTTCGATGGTGATTGGGAAGTGATCACTACCTTGGAGAGAGTCACTGATTTTAAAGTCGCAAAATATTTTTAGTTCAGGTGAGCAGAATGCCAAGTCAACGTGTGTTAACGTTCTATGTGTTGAGAAATGTGTGGGTTGTCCGTTGTTAAGGATAATGAAATTATTGTCCAGGATAAATTTTCCCAATATTCTACCTCTCTGATTTATTGTTGGAGATCCCCAGCTGGTATTCCAGCTGTTGAAGTCCCCTGTAATCAGATTTGGGCAGTTACCTGATGGTATAATCGAACGTAGATCCATGTGATTAAATTTAGTGTTGGGAGATATATAAGAAGATATAATATTGAATTTTTTTACAGACTGAATTTCTATTGCTATGGAATCAACTGAGTTTTGAAGAGGGATGAGTTTGTGCTGAATGGATTTGTGAATTAAAATTGCCGCTCCGCCATCCGGGCTGTGGGAGGCTGTGTAGTGAATGTCGAAGTTTACTGGAATAGGGATTGGTTGGGTGTATGTAATGTGGGTTTCTTGCAGTGAAATGATTTTGGGAGTAAAGCGTTTTATTAAGACTTGCAGTTCGTTGTAATTATTCAGGTATCCATTCATGTTCCATTGTAAGAGTTTCAGGGTCATTTTGATTATTAATGCGTTGTTTTTGTCTCACTTGAGGCAAGGGATTTAAGTTTTGCTCTAGTTATTATTGCGCTTTGATCGTTTTTTAATAGTCTTTTTGTTCTGTTTGTTGAGCTGAGTGGAAGAATTTTTGTCGATTTTTTTGCAGTATGGGAAGTGCAGGGGGTTTCCGAGCTGGATGACATAGGTTCGTCTGGCTCGGGGTTCTCGGATGTTGGTGTGTCAAATTCATTTTGGGCATAGCTAATTGGTTTCCTTGTTGATTGTTGGGAAGAGTGGGCTACATTGGATTTCGCTGCTGAGGAGTAAAGTGATCCATCGTGGTGTCTTTTGTTATATATGGACCAGGCTGTCCTATTATCGACTTTTTGTAGGGTCTTGATGGCCTGGACTTCCTTGTTCGACAAGAAGACAGGGCAGTCCTTGTTGCGGGCATGGTGGTCTGTTGCTGGGAGTTTTTTAAGGCAGCAATTTATGCAATTGGACTTATTTTGGCAAATTTCTAAATTTTCATAGTTTACATGGGCATCCATACCACAGTTGGCACAGGTTGGAGTGTTTTTGCAGAATTTTGCAGTATGTCCAAATCTAGAGCAATTGTTGCAGCGCATAGGGCGAGGTATAAATGTGCGCACCTGAACTCTCTCGTATCCAATATAGAGGAATTCTGGCAGATTGGATTGCTTAAAAAAGATTTTAATAAGACCCGTTTCGTTTTGTTCAGTTTTTTGGAGGACCTGGTTAGGTATATATTTATATATTTTATCGACTCTTTCTACTTTTTGTGATTTTAGGTTTTCCAAGATAACTTTTTCTTCTATTCCTCGTAAATCATTTGAATAAATTATTCCTACACTGGAATTAAGGCTTCGGTGTTCTGATATTTTTATGGGTATATCGATGTATGGAGTGTTAGAAGGCATGCTGATAAGTTTCATTAGCTTTTCGGCTTGTAGCAGATTTTTAGTTTTAATGAGTAAGTTACCGTCTTTGGTTCTCTTGCAGCTTGACACTTCGCCCTGAATGGCATTGTCGATTGTTTTTTTAACAATGAATGGGCAGATAGCAGCTAGTGGCTGGGAACTCTCATCAGTTCTAGTTGCAACCAAGTATATTCCGTCAGGCGGATGCTTTCTCCAGATGTCCGGTGGGTCAAGCATTGTGGGGTCAAAGAACTTTAAGGCCTCTTAAAAGTTGCCAAAATTTGTTTGTCGCTCCGGTTGAAGTAGAGATAAGAATTGTTTTCGTTTGCTTTGTGCTAGCGTTTGGATGTTTTGATGCTGCGCTACGTAGACGTCTCGCGGAAGAACACGACCGATCGGTTAGACTGTCGAAGGTGAACTGATATTTTTTATATAATTTTATATTTTGTAAATAATAATACAAAATTTTAGTACAGACTATTATTTTAATTATTATGACAACATTATTATTTTAAACAAGAAAGGAAGCTAAGTTCGGCACGCCGTTTTAATTTCTCGATCGTTCCTATGGCAGCTATATGATATAGTAGCCCGACTTTAAAAAAGTGTTACAAAAAATTGTAGAATAATATAAAATGGTTATATCACAAATTCGATGACAATCTGTTTAAAACTTTAAAAGTTATCATTTTTAATTGTACTAATTTCTTGATCGTTCTCATGGCAGCTATGTGATATAAAATTAAAGAAAAATATAAAATGGCTATATCTATAAGTATATAATAAGTATATATAAGTTATAATTTTTTTCATAAAAATTTTTCGATTGTTCCTAAGGCAACTATATGATATAGTCATCCGATCCGGCCTGTTCCGACACATATACGAGTGAGAGTATATAGACTAACTGCAAAGTTTCATTCAGATAGCTTCAAAACTGAGAAACTAGTTTGCGTAGAAACGGACATGGCTAGATCAACTCGGCTGTTGATGCTGATCAAAAATATATACACTTTATATGGTCGGAGGTGACTCCTTCACTGCGTTACAAAGTTCTGAGTTCAAGGGTATAAAAATATATACATATATAATGTCGTGTCGTGCTTGGCTTTAATTAGATTACATGACTAAAAGTGTTACTGTACCAAAATTTGTAAACACGCTTTTCAGTAATTCACTGGAATGCTAAAAAATACCGCATAAGCCTTTTGCATGGCAACAGCAGTTTTCAGCTGGCGGTATTTTTAATCATATAGAGTCCCCTAAATGTAAATAATAAAAAGTAAATAATTATTAATATTTTCATTAAAAAAAAAAGATTATTCTTTTTTGTTTTTTGTTGTTGTTAAAAAAATCATACTTTCATAAGAGAATTTGACCCCAGATATAAGAATTCTACCCCAAAGGCGAGAATTTTATCCCATGTATCTGTAAACGTGTAAAATTATTATCGACACGTGTTAGATGTAAAATAAAAATATTTTTTTCAAAACATAGATAGTGCATGAAACATCGATGTTTTGAAAACAATATTCAAACATGGATAGTATCGATAGTGCTTTGGTGTTTTGCCAGCACTACCAGCCTGTTGAGGTGCAAAAACATCGATGTTTTCGATGTTGTTCTCCCAAAAACAAAAAATTTAAATACAATTTTTTAAAGTATTAAAAGGCTGTAAAAATATATAAAAAATAGTTATTTACTTGGCCCCAAAAGACAAACTTAGAAAACTGATAGCTGAGATCCTTTTTATAAAGGTCTTAAGCATTAGCTGCGTTCAGCAGAACATGATCTCCGATCAATGCGTCCCCTCCTTTTTTTGAAAAGACCGGTTCCAGGACTGTACTCCACATTCGTGGCTTTAGAAAACTAAATTCTAAATAAAGAAATAATTACTAAATAATAGTTAATTATTACAAAATATGTAAGGATGAGACTGAATTCATGAGTAATAATTTATGATTTGATTTGCACTGATTCGAAATTAAAAAAATCTGCTATTTTAACTTAACTTTCCATTGCTTTTCCCTTGATAGTTACGGTACAGAAACATCAATGGTAAAAAAATATCGATGATTTAGAAAATTCAAAAAACATCGATGCATCGATGCTTTCATCGATGTTTTCGCACCTCTACCAGCCTGTCACCTCTAGTCAAGGCAATCGTAATTGTTTTTTGCAGTGGACGGAACAAAAAAAGAAAGGAAAATAGTCTACTACTAAAATGTTCAATATGTTCGCCAGTAAAATGATAATTTGGCTTTTGTTATGTGGCGCAGGTACGTAAGCAGTGATAAACTATAATAATCCAACCCTTTAAAATATCGTAGAGAAAATTGCGTCGTGCTGAATCCCTTTGTTCAATATGCTTATTCATCGCAAATTATTTACTTATTTGTGTTTTTCATTTTATCGTCGTTCGCCATCCCACTCGCACTCAAGCACGTAACCCTCTCGGACGAACTGATTGTAGTTTTTATCTGCGCAAAAATGTTCGGCAAAAACAACGGGAGTTTAGTCAACAGCAAACAAAGAGAGTTCAGTAAATCGCTTGCACTGCAATTATACAGTTTTATCTGACTGCCCATTTGTCCCCACAAAATGGTGGTTCTTAATGCTCCACCCGCCGCCCCCCTCCCTCATATCCAGGCATAAAGCTGCATTTAAATAAATTCAGCTCCATCTATGTATGTGCATATAAATATGGTCCTGCTGTTCCTCATGATCTCTTTGTAATATTCACTTATTCTTTCACTTTCCTTTTAAAATCATTAGCTCATTAATTTTATATTATTCGCAGCCGTCACTATTTATCTGCCCGACCGGTGTTCGTTAGTCCGCCTATTGTTCTATTTTCGATCAGGGCGTCTGTGGTGGAGTGTAACTGTGGTCTTTGTCACTTGCAGTCTCAGATTTCCTGCGGTTATGGATTTGTCAGTCTAGTTTTCCACTTCTAATCTCCACATGCCGCCCCTATTTGCAATTGATTTCACAACAACAAAGTTTTCAGTATGTGACGCACGATAGAACGGGCACACATATGTACATACATATGTAGATATTTAAAAATCTATGCAAACTTGTGTGTATGGATGTTCATATTTTTCTGATAAGACGTGTGTAATGGTAAAATGGAGCAGTGAAATTAATTAAATAAATAAAAATAAAGGATTAACTTCCAGGGAAAATTTATATTATAATTAGATAAGAATATGTAAAGCGAAAGGTAAACATTTTCAATATAGTGCTTGGTTATTAAATAATTCATTTACTCAAAAACGACCTATTTAAATTACATGTGTAGGCCAGACTGCAACGCTGATTGTCGTTTTCTTTTCCTTGTTTGTTTAAGGGCTTAACATGCATTTAAAGGTCATCTCTCCGTAATGCACTGCGAAAAGACGGCATTGAACTTGGATGGGCATGGTGGAGGCTCGAACACACCAAGTAGAAATCTTAAAAGAAAACCTCATAGTTTGGGGTTATTTTATAGATTTACACCCTTGCAGAGTATTCTAATTTAGTCAGAAGTTTGCAACGCATTGAATGAATCATTTCTTACTAATCAAACGAGTCTCTAAGCTTTGCAGCTACATATGTATATAAATAAAATTTCCCCAATATATAATAAAAAATTCCATGTATTTTCCAGTTCTGTCTCAAAATGTTATTAGTTTAAAGGATGTCCAGTTTGGTACTACTAATTCGCCTTTAGAAAATTCGACAACGTCAAGCACGTCTACATCCACCTCAACAGTAAAACCAACTAGCACTAGCTCAACATCGACGACCACCACAACTACCACTGAGCCACCAAAGACGACAACCACACCGGCTCCCGTGCCATCCACAACCCATGCTCCCCAACCGTATCCGTCCCCCTCAGTGGGCACTTGGAATGCGTCCTGCATTTTGCTCCGAATGGCGGCCCAGCTCAACTTCACCTATGAGACCAAGGGTGAGAAACAATAAACTTTTCTTCTAATGAAATTTGTTAAACATTTAACCAAAGATCCAACTGATTTAGGTCACTTATGTTATATTTGAAAAGGAAACTGGTAGTTTACCCATTTTTATGCTTTACTTTTCTTATTAGATGGAAATCTTACTCATGGCCTCTACAATATTCCGAGTAATGCCTCAATCGGAGATAATGTTTGTGAAAGCAAGACCGTTCAGGCAATTCAACTAACCTGGGGACCCAATTCATCCAAACAGTCTTTCCTTATGTTCTTCGACAACAAAAACGAGAGCATTGTCCTATCCTCGATTCAAATCCATCTGACTGTGCTTACCGAGGACTTCCCTGATGCCAAGGGTAGGCAATAAAATAATTATTTGCTTGTATAATTAAAAATTGTGGTGGATTCTTTCAGAAAACCAAACGATTCAGCTAATTCATCGCGGGACAGAGGAATTCAAAGCTCCTGAAAAGATGTCCTACCATTGTACACGCGTACAGATGCTGAATTTAACAGAGACTGTGGATGCGAAGCCGTTGATTGGTTGGATCAGCGTTAGTCAAGTTCAAGTGGAGGCCTTCCGGACGACTAATGCTACTGGATTTTCCGCCGTGCATGATTGCGACAGCTCCGAAACATCAGATGTGGTGCCTATCGCCGTTGGAATTGCTTTGGCTGCCTTGATTTTGGTTGTTCTTATCTCGTATCTTTGCGCTAGGCGTCGCTCCACCTCTCACGGCTATATGAGCTTCTAAGGGGAGTGAAGGGAATAAGTTTATGTTTGGGAAAAATTAGAAATTGAAAGGAATTGAAGGAGAAGCATGTTAGAGGGAAAGCGTTAGAGAGAAATTTAAGATTGATTTTGATAATTGGAAGCTGTCTGTGAATATGAGCAACATCCCATTTTGTTTTGAAAATTCTGACTTGTAAGAATTAAAGCGGATTTTTTTTGGATAGGTTTGCACATTACGAGCTGGTATGGAGTAAAAAAAAGATTGAAAAAGGGAAAGAGTATAAAAAAACATCAAAAATAGGGATTTACAAATCTGTTTATGTTGTGCATGTAACCGTCAGAAGATTTTATTATAAAATCAGTTTAGAAGACTCCGACATTACATAAACCATTTCCATACAAGGAATGGAGTGAGACCCAAAATTTTAAACAAGCCGTAGGAGCACACATTTTACGCAAATAAATCGATCACGTAAATGTAATTAGTGCGTCATTCAATAATATAGGTGAAAACGAGAGCGAACGCTTTGGTTTGGGTAATAACCACGGTTATTTACTATGCGTAAATTGTATATCAACGATGTTTTACCATTGAGCTGTCATTAAAATTTTTTTAAACGTAAGATCATAAAAATCCAACTATGTATTATTGCCCCTAAAAGCGTAATAAAGATAATATAATATTTAAAACCAACCAAAATTTAATTTCATTTGTTAGCACCATATAAGAAAGTTGACTTTTTAAATAATATAGAATTTGAAAAAGTCTTTTTATGTACTTGTTATTAGTGGAATCTTGTTCGGCACAATGAAACACCTGTGTAGACTACAAAGAATTAAAGACTTGTATACGACGTGGCCCAACAACGCTGAAAGCAGCGTTTTGCTCATTTGATCTGTTAAACAAACAAGAACAAACTGCGTTTCGAAAGTTAAAACTTATATATTTTCGTATCATACACAAATTAAAAAAGCATATTTAAATAAGTTAATTAGGAATTACAACTTTTGTATACGCAAGTGCACGGTTCCGCAAGTTGTAGTTATTTTATTTCCACAGGTAGGCACAAATTTTAGGACAGGGACCTGTAAGTTTTTGAAAGGAATTAGAGTACGACCGGATTTGAAAAATAGAAAATATATTTTGAACTGTCTATCATGTTGTACGCTGTTTTAATTTTTCAAAATATAGAAAATATGTTTCCAAAACACTATAGCTTTTGTTAGATGCATCCACAAAAGCAATTGGCACCAACTGGTCATTACAAATTTGTGTATGGCAATTGTATAATTGAATAACATTCTAACAGATAAATCTATACAGAATAAAAAGAAATTTTATAAAAAATACAGATGTTAAAAAACATTAAAAGGTTCAAGGGCTAACAAATTTTCTTAAGAAATCTCCATAAAGCCCATGAGACAAAAAAAATCGATTTTTCAGTTTTCAACAGATTTTCAAATAATTTGATATAGATCCATTTTGGTTTTAATTTTATAAACCTCGTACAACTATATCATATAGCTGTAATGCAAAACTGTAATTAAAAAACTGTTAATACAATACGTAATGGAAGAAGGCATTACTTGTTATACCCTTGCAGGGTATTATAATTTCAGACTATATAAAGTAAATATATTCCAGGATCAACAACGGAGTCGATCTAGCCATGTCAGTCTGTCCGTCTGTCCGTTTCTACGCAGGCTAGTCTCTCAGTTTTGAAGCTATCTGAATGAAACTTTGTAGTTAGTCTTTTATATACTCTCACTCGTATATATGTCGGAACGGGCCGGATCGGACGACTATATCATATAGCTGCCATATGAATGATCGGAAAATTTTTACAAAAAAAATTATAACATTTTCAGTTTTCAACAGAATGTTATAAAATTTGAGATATAGCCATTTTATGTTACGTTACATTTTTGTGTAACATTTTATGTATTTTATATATCATATAGCCCCCATAGGAACGATCGAGAAATTAATACAATTAAAAATTATAACTTTTCCAGTTTTTACCAGAATTTGATCAAATTTGGGATGTAGCCATTTCATATTACTCTAAAATTTTGTGTAAAATGTTATGAAAATCGGACTACTGTATCCTATATCTCCAATAGGAACGATCGAGAAATTAATACAATTAAAAATTATAACTTTTTCAGTTTTCAACCAAATTTGATCAAATTCGGGATATAGCCATTCCATATTACTCTACAATTTTATGAACAATTTTATGCAAAATCGGACTACTATATCATCTCCCATAGGAACAATCGAGAAATTAATACAATTAAATTTATAACTTTTTAAGTTTTCAGCTGATTTTCATCAAATTTGAGGTATAGCCATTCTATATAAGTCTTACATTTTGTGTCAAATTTCATGAAAATTGGACGACTGTATCTTATAGGTGCCTAACAAACGATCGTTAGATGTAGAGGAAAAAAGTAAATCTTTGAATGTGAAACTGTTAATATAATATTTATAGGTGAATGAAATGAAAGCAGGTATTACTTCATTGTTTTTAAACAAAAATATATATAATTTATATTGTTTGGATTCCTAGTCCTTGAAGCTCTATATGCAACAGTATATAAACTTCGGCGTGCCGAAGTTAGCTTCCTTTCTTGTTTTTGGATTTTGTACTTGGGATTTGGATTTTGTACTTGCAAATATAACTTGGATAACCACAATATAAATTACATATATTTAAGTTAAAAAACAATGAAATATTGCCTGCTTTCATTTCATTCATCTATACTTATTATATTTACATATTAGTCCGATTTTCCTAAAATTGTACACAATATTCTAGAATAATATATAATGGCTAAATATAAAATCGGATGTCTGATTTAGTTATAAACTTTTAAATATGATACAGTAGTCCGATCTGGCCCGTTCCACCTTATATACGAGTGAGAGTATGTAAAGACTAAATGTAAAGTTTTATAGAGATAGCTTCGAAACTGAGGAACTAGTTTGCGTAGAAACGGACAGACGGAAAAACGAACATGGCTAGATCGACTCGTCTGTTGATGCTAATCAAGAATATAAAAACTTTATATGGTCGGAGAAGACTCCTCACTGCGTTGCCAACTGCTGATTGAATTATAAAATTATAAAACCAAGCAAGGGTTTAAAACCACGAATTATATAAACAAATTATACATACATAGCTAGCTCATATAGCATTAGAGACTTGTTGCTGCAGACGGACGGACAGAAGAAAATGGCTAAATCAACCCGTTCGCACTGTAACACTTCAGGAATAAAATAAAAACAAATTCAGGAATATAAAATAATTCTTTTGGTTCAAAGCGACAGAAAAGAAGAAATTGTTTGCTTTACAAAATGTGTTGAAAATGTTGTTTGTTCAATATGTTTTAATCGGAGTGCCGGATTGGAATGATACTTGAGTAAATCATAACGGCAACATTTCTTAGTCACACATGTTGCTGTTGCTAACTGACGCAGCTTCACATATGTATAGCAACAAACATGATTTTATATATTCGATTATAGCTTAGGTTGCAGGCCGGTTGCAGGCAGGTTGCTGGGTGTGGTGAATAGCTAATATAGCCCTCCCCTTAATGTTGGTTACGTTTTCAGAAACAACATCAAACAAGTCGTTGTGACGAATGAGCAACATAAGTTCCTTTACCAGCATGTTGTCTTTGAGATTCACGGATTTTAGTAATAGTTTTTTTGTCAGTGGAAGGAATTAAGCAAATAAAGCATTACCGGAAGGAACGGAAAAATATAACAAAAGTTTATAACTTTCTTGTTTTTTATATTTTTTATTTTACTCCAAGAAATGGTTATTGTTTAATTTTTTAGAATTTCTGGCGTAATGTTGGCTCAGTTCTTTTTTTGTATATTTTAATTTTAATGTTAAAACCTGACATCAATCTATCGTTCTTACACTTGCAGTGTGATACCACAGATTGTTAAGTAATTAAAACAGAGTTAAAACCCCGAATCTTGCTTATATTTAATGTTTTCTTGAAGACTAAACCTCCATATCTAACTTCGTGTTTTCCTTCGCGGATGAACATTAAATATTTTGTCATTTTTGATTAAAATATTTGATTCCTTTTATGGTTTATAAAAATGGTCTTTGTCGATCGTTCAGTATCAAAATGATCTGCATTTGTGTGTCTTCTTAATGATCCTAACATTACAAATAAGCTAAACAGTTTTTAACAAAATATAAAAAAAAAAATTTAATTTAAAAAATATAAAAATAAATGTAAATTAACTTGTTCTATCAACATACTAAGCTAAAAAAATAACACTTGCGCAACTAATGCATGGATTGGCAGAATCGACCTTCGTGTGCCTTCTTAGAGTCAAGCACACTCAACTCCACTTAACCTACAAGTTTTAATTGATTTAAATGACTGCCTATACAGGTATTTATTTTATTTTGTATACCGAAGCGGAGGAGGAATCGAATCATACCGTTTATGTTTAAGTCACACATGCTGCTAGAACTAACTTGCAGCTTCGGCTTGAGTTCCCCTGGATACCCGATATGGTTGGCCTTCCCCTTAATGTTGCTAACGTTTTAAGAAGCAACATCGAACAAGTCGCTGCAACATGAGTAAGTTCATTTGCCAGCCATGCTTCCCTCGTCTTCAACGATTTTAATAAAGTTGTTGGTTAGCATTGTTTAGGAATTTATCCTTGATTGCAGCTTTGCTTTGAGTTGTGTGGCCCATCAGGTTGTAGGTTGTATCCAACGAGTAAGACAGAATGCATCTATATTGCAAAAACTGAAGTTTTGAAAAAATATATTGCAATTTACTTATTAAAACTAACAAATATTGTTGATCATATAGTTTTTATTTCTTATTTTCCAATTTCAATATAATTAGAAATGTTTTACCTGCAAATACTGTCTGGGCATAACAAAACCTAAATGTTATCAAAGTTGAAACAAAAATCAGTAAACGTTTGAAGGGATTGATGTGGACACACATTTGTGGTGTAGTTTTTTATATTTCTGTTCTTTGAAAAACATTGTGACAAAATTCCTAATTTTAGAAATAATTAAAATATGTTTGATCTCGGAATAAAATTGCAATTTGTTGAAAAACAACAAATCTATACTTTTTGTCTGAAAACTTGTTATATTATTTCTTTATATCGGTTCGATTCCGACTTAAATGAAATGCAAAGACAGCTCAAAAACTGAGAGATAAACTCTGCAGAGTAAAACCAACTGAAAAAATCATCTGCAAATATGTTGAATAACATTTCTATTGCGCCTACGAGTCTTTCTCAGTTATACAATACAGCTTATAAACATGCATTAAAGTATATACGTACTTATGTATGTACGGATATTATATGTACATGCATAAATATGACTTTCCTCAACTTTTTACTCCTCGCCTGACCCTATCCACCTCGTGCCCTCCTCTCCTCCGGCGAACGCAATTCAATTTCATGGCTCCGTGAGTAGGACAATTTGCCCACTGTGCAAGTGCTAAATTGTTGACTGAGTTGTATACACCACCCACATTCAGATCGAAACATCTACCGCCGAGTGGGGTCAGTCGTTGATATACATACATATGTATGTATGCACATAAGTATATACAAAAGTATGTACCATTGCAGCAAATAAATGAACTGAAGCGTTGATTGCCTCCGTTGCATGGGCTGAGGCTCCGAGTCCGTAGCCAACTTATATGTAGTTCTCCGGGACATAATGAAAACTTTTCGATCGAATGCATTTTACTTGCCTACCAGTAACGGTTAACTGTCGTTATTGTTGCTGTAATTGCAGCCTCAACGCAAAACATACAGATAGTTCCTATGGTTCGGAAGAGCAAATACAACATCATACATATGTACATATGCCAGACGAATGAGGTAGGATGCCCTTTAAGTTACAACAAATGGTGCAATGTCATAAAGGACATAAGGGTCGGTGGGTGAGAAATACAAGTATACTCTGATTTAATTATATTCATAATAATTGTTTAATTTAATTTAATTAATTGTTAGCATTGTATGTATTGATACGAAAAAAATTTCCCAGATTTCCACTTTGCAAACTTCATCAAAAGAACAAGAATTTACTAATAAAAAATAAATGCGATGAAGTTAATTTCAAATGTTAATTGTATTTCTTTCTCTGAGGATTTAAAATCATTATTATTACATAACTTATAACTCATAACAGCCATATTCCTCGGATTAATTAATTCAAATTTTAGAACAATTCCTCAAATCTTTTATGTAATACGGAAATCCGAAAACGATATTAAATTCAGATGTGTTATGTTACAGTAGCAAATAAATCAGTTGAAGCGTTGATTGTGTCCGTTGCATGGACCTAATTTGTTGCATTATAATCCTTTTTCGATCATTTTAATAACAGTTATAAGAAGTAAGGCTGTAATAGGCTTAACCAGAGAAAATATCTCAAGCCTTAATATATAAACAGGTTCCGTTTTCTGTGCGATCAGAAGAGAAAGCACAGACAAAGTAACATGCTTTTGTTGGCTTTTCGACCCCCAACATCGCACGATTTTCATACCTGAAATTTTAATCGCATTAAGATAAAGAAAAATAGTTTTTAAGGCCCTTAAACCAATTTGGTTGTTAAATCTTTTCATTCAGACCGAGATATGTACACTTAAATTTGTTTACCAATGCGATGCTTACTATACCCAGTACGACGATTTTTATAAATTTTTAAGAAATGATTTATTGCCAAAGAATGGCAATTTAGGCTTATTTTAGTTGCCTAAAAAATGTATTTCTTACATTTTTGTTTTGTTTTGTACTTATCACAAATATATAAATGAAATATTTAGGCATGCGATCACTACTTTTTTATCCAAATAATACAAGTTTTTCAATTAACTTTTCAAAATTGGCTTTTGGTGTTTAATTCGGCAAACACACCAATCAAAGTCCGAATTAAATTTGACTAATTGCCCCGAGATTTGGTTGTTTTCACTCTTTCAAATCGCATCTCATGTCACCAAAAAGCAGACCAACTTACCTGGAATATTATTCAGTTTTAATGCAGGCAGCTAACACGAAAACTGCATTAAGAATCATCTGCAGACGCAAGTTCGGGTTGAATGGAATGTATTTGACCTACCTGTAGGCTGTGGTCGTGTGAAGTTAATAAGAAATAGTCACCGAATAAAAGAACTAAACACATTCGTTGTGTATTCAAAGTAATTTACTGATTCACTTATTAGCGACAACTTGACTTCACAATATCTTATCGGTTTGAGTTCAAGACAGAAGCATACTTTTGCTGGCCAAATAAACCTGTTCTGAGTGATTCAGGTAGATTTTTGTTAATCCATTCTGATTGAAAAGTATTTTAGTTTTATTGCCATACAATAACGAAAGTCTAATTTTACTAGCATTATTATTATAATTTACTTAATCAAATAAAATATATACTATTTATACAAAACAAAGCTGGTGGAACAATGCCCCCAAGATAAATGCTACCGAATGAATTATTTTTGGGGCTTACTTACTTGGTTAACTAGTCGGTTTTTGCTATCTATGATTCATTACATTTTTCTGCCTTCAGTCGCCGACTATGCCAACACTTACCCAAATTGCTACTAAACAATTTATCTAAATCCTTCGACAAACATTTGGCCCACAGAGAAAATCAATCCCAATTTAGAAGACAAAAGGCCCACAAAACTAATGGGCTTTTTGGGCCCTCCCAGAGTTTTACGACCGAAGGCAATAATCAAATATAATTTTTAACTATTTACGAGTACATTGCCGCACATTTTCCATATAAATTATTAACATTAATGCTCAACAAGGGGCAGGGATAATGCAAAAACACTAGTGGGAGGGAGGCGTTCCACACGACAATGTGTATGGATGGCACAGAGGAAAAAACAACTAGAAACAATAACAAGGAATCAACAAGGCTTTAATAAATAATATGAACCCATAAGCAAAATGAAAAGTCCCCTTTGCTCCAGCACCGCCTACACCGATTGAGTGATCATAAATATGGGAACATAAAATGGGTGGGGAAAACTCATTGGCGACATTGCCTTTGACCTATGGGAAAACGAAGAAAAATACCGCTTTTCTTCGACGGGGACGGGTTTTAGTGAATGAAATTGAATTTCATTAAAGCGGAGAAAGCTAGTCAATCTTTTATTACTATCTTTATTGCGATTGCACATTAAAATCACGAATCTGCAGCCAAAGTAGCGCCTACTCAAAACCAATAATCTACGTCAAGCTACTAACCGCGGCTTAACTCATTTCCTAATCAATTGAGTATTCCTTTTCCCATGGCCCAGGCCTGAATGATGGAAAAGTAGGCAAATTTGGACGGAAAGTGGCTCCATCCTTAGAGGCGTCGTACTCTGCATCCTTTTGTAATTGCGTAATTACGTCTAATGAATTCAGTGGAATGAATTTGAAAGACCGTTCGGATCGTTCTAGAAAAGTAGTTTTCCTTTCCGTCTTAGGCCATCTATTGACCATCCTAGTTGTCTCTCATCAACATTCGCCTTCGAACCTTTTTTTCGTTTTCCAGCTCAGCTTACGCTCTTGTCCTTTTTTGCATTTTCAAGCCTTGGCAGAAGTGCATTGCAAGGAAATACATACACTATGCAAATTTAAGTTTTACCGAATAGTTTTTACACAAGCTCTGAAAATATATCGGAAGTTGATGCACGAGAAAAGAATTCAACAAGAGTAGACACATTCAGGCTTACTCCAGTTTTTCGGATTTTCCGAGTAATTTCAAATAGCAGTAATTGCAGTTTATAAACAAATCGGCTTGCTTTGCCTACATTACATTTATTAAATACAAGGCTGATCGATCATGAAGTATTATTTAAAAATATGATTATTTAAATTTTCCGAAAGTAAATAATATAAAATTCGAGTCCTCGTGAATATTTTGAAAGTCTAACTCAGTCGGAAGTGAAAATAATTTGCGAAACATACACAGTTGCACAACAGCATTAGGAAACAAGGAAAGAATGTCTCTAATGTTAATTAAGATCCTGGTGAAGCTCTTTGACCCTGCATACCATGACTGTGTTTATTAAAGGGGTAATAAGAGAGAGAAAAAAATGGAAGAATAATAATTTTAAATTAACTCCCAATAATGTTTAATAAGCGTACTCAGGTCAATTTTGACACTCATTACAAAAGCACGTCGTTGCAATGCATTGCCGCAATCATGGGGCCTTCCTTGGGGCCCGTGATGTATTTTCCCCACACTTGGAGGAACTCGCTCTGCTTCCGAGAGTACATGGACGCCTGCCTGCAGAGCTCCATGCTAAAGTTGGTATCCGAGCAGAAAACGGGCCCTCCGATGTGGATGTGGCTATTCGTGATATAGATGTTCTGGCTGTGTTGCGAGGAGCCGGTCATCAGCGTAAAAGACTCAGGATTCCTGTAAAGTATCTGCATTGATGCGGACTCCGATTCAGCCGTGGAGCTTCCCTTCCTAGCCATCATGGGTTCATCGGAGTGCTCCACTGCGACCTCATCTCCGAATTCAACACTTTCCTGGCTACTGCAGCTCTTGCTCACTCTCAGGTCGTGCAGCAACTCCCGCATCTCCAAGCAGTGGGTTTGAAGAACGCTCAGCTGCTCTCCCAGAGCTGTATTCTCCTCCATCGCCGCCGGGTCCTTAGTTTCTTCTTTCTGTTGTGAAGGCGGTAGCTTCTGCTCCGCTGCAGGATCTCGGTTGAGATTCAACGCTTGGCGGCTCTTGAGGTAATACTTGGCCTGCCTCTCGGCCAGAAGAGCGAGCTTGGAAAGGCCAAAGGTCAGTGCGAGTATAACCCAGAAGCTCATCGTGAAATCGAATGCGCCGCTCAAGGTTCCCGAGGGGTTGTGGAACACATGCGGCTCAAACGTAATCCCGGGACGCTCTGAAAAAAAAGTATATTCTTGGCCATTAAACTAGAATCAATATATACTTACTTTTGCTTTAGAAGAAGACTATTGGCAAAGTTTTAAAACTGATACTACAATTTAAATACCCCATATTATTATTTATTAAACTAAAGGCGCTTTGGGAAGTAAAGCATTTCTTTTCGTTGCACTTTTCCCACTCACCTGTGTAGAATTCCACACGATAATCGGAGGTAGAACGTTTCTGGATCTCAACCGCATGCTGGAGACAGAGCACAGCCCAGGAAAACAGGGCCATTGCAAAAAGGAACAGAAAACTAATGTTTTTAAACATGTTTTTCAGAAATTTTTATTGGTCTGTACTAGAACTTGCGTGCCTATAAAAACAATAACGGGGTGAGGCGGATTCGTGTGGAAAATGTGGAAATTAATAATGAATTCAATAAATAGTTGAAGTTAAATAACTAACCTACTTCGGCTTAATAAAATCGTCCGAGCTATAGTTTCCATCATTTTTGGAAGGTGTGGCAAAAGATATGAATGTTGTCTGAAATTTGGTAGCTCTTATCTGAGATCTATTGGTTCACACGAACAAAAAATCGTGCAGGCAGACATGGATAAATCGACTGGGCTGGTGATGCAGGTCATTTGATGTTAAAAAAAAAAAACAATTTTGATGATTCATTCAAAACTGAAGTTTTGCTAATTGATGTTCTGAAAGTATTTGTTGTGCAGTTTTTTAAGGTGACATCATTAATTATCTAGAATTCAAACGGATTTTAACAATTCTTAATAAATGACTAAAAAGAAGAAATCTACAAATAGACTAATTAATAGAGGACATAGTGCCATACATTTGAATTATTATTATTGCTTGTTAAAAGTTCCTAAATGCGGTCGAAATACTGAATATTTAATAAAATATCTAGAACTAGCGGCCCGTCCCGGCTTCGCACGGGCATTAAACATTACATTTAGATTTGTCAATTTTAACACATTCATAATAATAATAATAATATGACACATATTCATCCTTTATTTTTATTTATTTTTTTCAATTATTGAGGTCATAACCCTAAAAGAAAATACATTTATTTTGTTAGAGCTTCTCTGTAAACAATATTTGATGTTTTATTAGGTGGCAGCAAAATAAATTGATTTTCATTGGCTCCGACTCGCGATAGACCAACATACAGTTGACCATGAGTAAAACATTTCTTTCGCAGATCGATCCATACTAATTCGAAGGTTTTGCCTTGTGACTTGTTAATTGTTAATGCGAAAGATGTTTTTACCGGAAATTGAAGCCATTTAAATGGGATTGTCATATCATTTTGGATCATCGGTATCCTCGGTATATGAGCTAGTTGACCACCTGCTGGGCATATTATGGTTAAGAGGGCACTTCTGAATACATCAAGGTTCTGGCAAAATCATCTTCCTGGCATAAGGTGAAGAAGGCAGTCAGAGTTGTTGCTGGCGGATTCAGGACTCATTCTTGCACATTTCTTTCTGTGAAATAGACACGTTGACCATTCTCCTAATGGACTGCCAAGTGAACTAAAGCTGGATAGCGTTCATGAATGTGGAATGAAAAAATTCTCCATGCAGCCTCGTTGCTGCTTATGTATCTTCCAGCCTGGTATTGAGATATTTCATCGACAACTCGTACTGCATTGCTGTCACCATTTTCTGCCTGAACACCAAAAACTGCCATATCGCTGCCTTTATTCACGTACTTGCAGATATATTTAATCGATTTCACGATTGCAATATTCTACGTTGATGTGCGCTTTGTATGATTTTGACAATAGTGTTGAGTATGGAACCACCCAACGATTGTCTACCTCAATATCACCAATTCTCATTTTTAAATTTGCCGAAGTCCCTCCATCTTCAGTTGACCGTCTCCTATACAGAGGATATCCATCGTCCCCTGTTACGGTGTTGGCTGTAAATGCTCGAGGATATCGCTTGAAACACTTCCCGTCTACCATGCATTGTGAACATGGGTTGAGGGTACCAATTGGGCCATGGATCATGTTCTTGATGACAACTTCATGCAAATCCGTATCAACCTCGGTCCATGGAATCTCAGCGCATATAACATCGTCGATTTCATCTGGAGTAATTTTATCATACAGCCAAATCAGTATGTGCGCATGCGGCAATCCTCTCTTCTGCCATTCTACTGAATACATGCAGCACCGCACAGATCCAAAAACTCCATGTTTCACAATAAAATTCATCAGTGACTTGAGCTTTTGTCTGAAAACAACGTTGGTTGTATTACGGTCATTCATCACAGCATCCCGCAAATGGATATATTCCTCGGACCGAAGTTTCGTCTGATTCAATCGAAGAGGCCTGACAGTATATGCAGACCTGATGCATCCGGCCAATAACGACATTCGATTCGAGCTGTAATCAATAGTTGGATTATATCTGAATGCAAGACGATTGTATTGCAGGTTTTGATCTTCTGCAAGCTGTAAACGCGCTTCAGCTACCCTTGCCCTGTCGCGTTCATTATTTTGAGAGTGAATCAAATCGATTGCTGCAGAACGCGACTGCCTAACTCTCAATCGTTTTCTCTCAAGCCTATCTGCTCGTCTTTCTGCTGATTCTTCGTTGTGCATCTGCATTGCTCTCAGCCGCTCAGTCTCTCGGATGGAGGCCCGTTCTTCGTCAGTCATATTCGTAATCTTACGTCTTTTTGCTTCTGTATTGCGATTACGATTCGTAATCTTACGTCTTTTTGCTTCTGTATTGCGATTACGACGACCCAAATTCGACTTCTTGGGTGGCATTACTTCGTTTCTTACTGAACCTGAACAAAAAAATAAAATTTTTATCTCCAATTCCTTATTTCAATATGTTTTGAATGTTTGACAGGAAATGCTTTGATTCAGCTGGCTGCCTATTTTTTTTTTAAATGAAATATAGCCTATGTCACTCAGGAATGATGTAGCTTTCCAACAGTGAAAGAATTTTTCAAATCTGCCAAGTACTTTCGGAGCCTATTCAATTCATACAAACAAACAAACAAAAAATCAAACCTTTCCTCTTTATATAATAGTATAGATATAGATGAGTTATGGAATAATTATTTTGAATATGGGTTAAATTTTGGGTAGGCTTTTATACGGCTGTCAAAAAAATACAATTAAGCTAACAGCAGCATTTTTGATAGAATATTCAACACCTAACTGGCAAGCGCTTCCGCGCTCCATCATTAATTTGAAACGAACTTAATATTTTGTTGTATTTTATTAAAATCTAAATAATGTTTCAATGTATATATCAACAAACCGACAATATATTTAGTTAACTAAAAAATTTTATTGGGACAATGTGCTGGAAGTGAGTCATATTTTCTGGGTAAACACATTTTAGGTCTGTCGAACAAAGTGGAGAAACAGTTGGTGTTTTCCTAATTTTCTTCTGTAAAGCGGCTAGATCCTTAGCAGCAATATCCTCCCCAGAATGCAGGTCCACTTGGACCACACCAGGAGTTGAATGGCCCAGTAAAGGACCCAAAACAAGGGTCATAAAATCCACTAGGACCAGAGCCACCACAAGCACACAATATAGCGCAAGGATAGCACGGATTTCCGCAGCACATTTTGTCTGGCTAGATCCTTAAGAATTTTAAATAAATAATTATATATTTACCAAACTGGAAGAATTTATGATTATTACCTTACACACTTTACACAAAAATAGGAAAAGAAGCGAAATTTCGGAATGCTCAACAGACCAAATGTTTTGAATATTGAGTTACAACTGAATGCTGGCTAATAATACCAGCATAGGTCGGCGGAATTTAGATCCATAGCCTACTGTCGGTCATTGTTATTTCTTATGCTCGATAATTCATTTTTCCTTTATTATGAACAAAAACTTCTTATATTATACGAAGCACCTTTCTATGAAATATGAAAAAGTCATCGTTTCAAAAATCTCCAAAATCTTCTGATATAACATATTTTTCCTTTATTATGAACAAAAACTTATTATATCCTACGAAGCACCTTTCCATGAAATATGATAAAAGTCAACGTTTCAAAAATCTCCAAAATCTTCTGATATAACATATTTATACTTTCGATATATGGTTTATATAAATTTCTAATTATTAAAGAAGAGTCTTAAATAAAAATGTAATTAATATATCATTTGTAATTTATTGTTGGTAATAACTATTGGTCACGAAAATTCAGCTCTACTATATCTATAGGAACCACCAGACAGGATATTCAAACCCACAAAAAGCCCCAATCTAAGGAAAGACAAAAGACAAAACGGAATCAATTCGCTTCAATTTACACTCACCGTGTCGAAGCAAAGTGAATAATTAAATTATATTTTGGGTCGACTTTGTCGCTACAATATTGGCACCTTCGTATGGATCCCTTCCACACCTTGGTTCGCCATGAACTGATGAACTAATGTTGAAATTAGATTTTGCGGGTTCTCGCTTTACCCGAAAATAGAGGGAACGAAATCAAAGAGTTTTTATCTTTACAAATAGTGGAGAATCTTAATTTTTACTTCACAGCAATGGCAAAAAGCTTTCCTCTACATTTATCAATCGTTCCTGAGGAAGCTATATAAAATAGTCATCCGATTTGAAGGAAGTTGAGATCAAAACTTTCGAATTTATATTTCTATACATCATAATGTAAAGCAGTACTTAAGGTTGGGATAGTTGAGTTATTTTATTTTAATAAATAACTAATAAATTACTAAGCGAACCAGTCTTCTTACTTACTTACCTTAATAAAACATTGAAGATGGGTTCATTTGTTTTACAGCTAGTCTATATTATATTTATATAATAAAATACTGTACCGCAATACATTTTTAGAACAAAAACTTTCGTTTTTTAAATATATTGGTAGATACATATCTGTATTAAATTAAACGAGTACTACCATATTGTCAATATATACAAGAGCCTATGAAAATCAAATGTTATTGATATTCTCTTTCATTGAGTTTAAATATTTATATTGAAATTATCAAATTACAAACTGTAAGGATGTACCGACTTTTGCATCTCGAATTATGTTTTATTTCTTGAGTTTAAAATAATTTTCCCGATTTAAACTCCTCAGGTCACAAAAAAAAAAAAATGCATAGACTAAAAGTTTTTATTTGCATTGTTAATTGTTAATCTCAGTCAAACTAAATCTGGTCAGAGCTTCAGCATTAGGTTGCGAACATTGATATATGCCCCGGTCCAGTTTAATACTACTATGTAATTTATGTGTAATTATTTTCTTTAAATAATAATTGAAAATGTGTAAGCTGTTAAGATAAATGATGCCTTGTGTGTAATAATCTTGATTTCAAATCAATTTTACAATTGACATTTGTTATTTGTCAAAACACCGGAACTTCATGGTTCTTTAATAACAATATACAGTCTACGTGGTAGAAAAACGTTTGAGTTTTGTCGAATTCTGTTATCATTTGCAGCGGCCCTGAGTGAGGTATATTTGCAAAAGCAGAACCAATTGCCAAACACCAATAGAAGCATCGTGAGCGTTGGATCGTTAAACACATTGTGAAGTCGAAGACGGAAATGATTGATTTGCCATAATGTCTGGCCAAAGCAAAGACAAAACGATGCCTTCTTATGAGTTTTCTATTTGAGTTTTTGGTACTCCCTCCTCCCCGATGTCGTTGCCAAGGCTTTATGTTCCAAATGCAGCAACGAGCTTGGAGGGGACTAATCAATAATCAATCATATTGTCTGGGATATACAAAGCCCGGCTCAGGACAAGAGGCAAAATGTTTCCATTCTATTCCATGATGTTGTTCTTAACTTTCTGCTTGTAAATTTCGCTGGCTGTGACTTTGAAATCCGCATACAATAATCGAGTTTAAAGCTGTCAGAACTATGAATGTTTGTTATAAGTTGAATAAGTACATAAGAAATATAAAGCCAATAGCTGCAAAAAATGGACATGCAAAGACCAGACTAATGTATTAACAGAGCTCATAAAAATATTTTAGTTTATATTTGTATTCTTTAAATTCATAAGCATTAAAAAAGTATCCTAATACTACTACTTTAATTGTTGAAACGTATTTGTACAAAAACCTGCTTGGATGTCTATGTCCATATCTGTTGGCTTGAGTAAAGCAGCGAAGTGGTCCATTTGTCAATTTAATATTTATTTTATTTGTTTTACTCTTTACCTGTAGAAATAAAACGTGCTTGGAGTTTAAATCTTTTTCCATTTCTGTTGTGACCCGGTGAAGGCATTGCTCGGTAATGAAATAAAAGCGACCTTACCTTATTGAAAAGGATAGAGTGGTGTGCTGAAATTGTGGCTGGAGCTTAATTGTTTTAAATTCACTCGCGTATGGGGAGTCGTATAATGTTGATCGGGCATTAACTGCACTTTCTAAAGTGTTTTTCGAGATGCAACTTACTTTCCTCACACATTGCTCACTTGCTTACGCCTACTTCGGATGCCAACCGAGCGTTGGATTTTTAGCAGAGTTTCGGAGCGACGCCCTGCCCCACAAGCTCTGCTCCCTGAAAGGGGAGGGAGATCTGTGTAAGCTGTGCTTAAAGTTCGAGCAAACTTTTAATTTAAATTGAAATGCGAGTGCAGTTGAAGCGTAGCGGTTGGAGCTGCCAGCCACCTTGATTGACGCAATGAATGATTGCGAGCAAGCGAGTCCTGCAGCTCGCGATTCGAGCAAGTTGCTGCAAGAGCCGGGTGTGCCGAGGGTGTGCCGCCTCTTGGATTTATGTTCCTAAAAGTTTCGGTTTGTCACCCTCTGAAAATAAATCGAAGACAAAGTTGGTTCTACGACCAGGCAATCCGTTTAATTTTGGTTACTAATGCTGCTTCCAAGGTGAATATAGACCATAGAAAACCCTTTTTCGATCTCTTTAAACATTAAGCCACTATAAAGGACGACCAACTGACCTACTAAAGTTTTTTCTATAATTTGGCTTTGAAATTTCATGAAAGGATCTTTAAATAATTTCATATATCAAGTGATTTAGTTAGTTAGTTTGTAGTTTCTGCTCTCACTTTTAAAAAATTACACATAAAATCACGGCCAAGAATATATAATAGGGATCTGAAGAACTACAAAGATTACTAATAATCGAGATATTCTGCTTTGAAAAAAAACCGGCTTGGCTATCCTTTTGGCTTAAACTGAGCACGTTTCATCAATTGACCCCAGATTAATTTCTTCAAATTAAGCTGATCTTTCCGGCACACCTTCAATCAAAAGGCAGACGATGGAGCTTATGTATTTTCACTATTCAAAAGAGGGGTCTTCACGCAAGAATGAATAAATAGTAAGAGCTCAATTGTGATTTATCGGAATTTTAGTTTAATAAATTGGTGGGCGGAGCAGAACTTGGAAAAGCGGACGTGCCTGTGCCTCATAGTCGCCGGTGGTCCAGGCGCAAGAAACCAAGATTTCAGATTTAAGACTTTGATTTCATAATTGTAGTGGTCAATTGTGATTTCTTTAGTATACAGTGTGACCAGATTCTGTTTTCATTTACTTTATTTAAAAAAATTACAGCAAAACAAACTGTTAATTCATTTTTGCAAACAGAAGAAGGCCAATAAAACCAAGTGGTTTGCGTATTTGTTGACACAACCTGACAAAAAAAATGTAAAAACACAACATGTTACAGTAGTTCTGTAGTGATGTTTATTCGTTTTTTAGAAAAGTTTTAAGTTTTTAATAAATTTAAATAATTTCGAACTTCAAAGTGAAATATAGTACTATAGTGAACTTAAAATTTTTCATGATTCGTTCAACAAAATTGTATTCTATTGTAGATATTGGTAGGCGGTATTGTTGTTATAACTTTATATTAAATCAAATTGTACTTCCTTTTCATCTTCTTAAGTATTAGGCAGATCAATTGGTAATTTATATCTTCAGATATACAATCAAAATAAAATATATCATTATCAAACTAACCATTTATTACTTAAAATTTGTTCTCTTTAGGAAACAATAAAAAAAAGGGAATTTCTTTGGTTCTTTTGGTTTCTTGACTATACATTTTTAGTTTGCTTTTGCTGTCGCACTTTAATTTTTTGCTTTTGCGCTTATTTATTGCATTTATTTTGTGCTTCTTTATTTCTTACTCGATCGTTTGTATTTGTTAGGTCCCACTATAGTCATACATACTTAATGTAGATTTAAAATGCGTGCTCATGCAATTTCTCACACAAATCCTTTTATTGCACACTCGGCTTATGCCAGGAGTTTACGAGGACGAACCAATTTCGTACGCCCCACTCTATCCCTCTCGCTTAGCCACTCCCCCTGTCAGGGGCCATGTGATCCGATGTGGCTGCGTTTTATTCGGCCAGCCATCGCTCGAGGGCCAACTGCCTCCTACTTTATTGGTCACATAACAAAAGATTACAGGCCTCGAAAAGTGACCGAAATGGGAAGCGCAAAGCCAGAAATTCGTTTCGGACCTTGTCCGCAAATGTGTGCAGATAGGAATCTTTATGTCTACGTGGTTATAAAAATATGATGAGAGTTTTATTTATATAATATTCGTGTTGTTTGTATTTTCCCTCTTTGGTGTTTGTTGTCCATGGATGGCTGTGCCAGCAAATTTAATACTAGCAGAGTATTTATAAGAAACATGACATGTTCTTATCCAAGTGTTTTAAAAACTATGCCAATATGATTGACGCGAAAGAGTTGCAGAGCAATGAAAAAGACATCCAAATATAAGTTCATTCCATTATTAAAGTGACATTATGCTGATAAGTAATTGTACTTCTTAATGTTATCCT